ATCCCTGGCGTGTATGACTCTGAACGCCACTGATCTAGAACAACCTCTGCACTGTGCAGATGAGTGGCACTAGGTGAAGTCCAAGGAGTAGAGGAGCCTATTCTAATTTGAAGGGTGAGCTGGGAGCAACACTGCCAAGACTTCCCAGGGCTCAATCCCAGGGCTCCTGACTTCCACATCACTTCTGAGTGGCTGTGTGTGCTCCCTGGGGTGTGAGTGCCCACGTGGCTATACTGGCCACAACGGCACCTCTCTGGACTGTCTCAGCCCTCCTTCTGAGTCCTGGCATTCTGGTGGGCCTGGCTCACTCATGAGTTCCTTTATTAGCCTCTAGACTTGTTTTCCTCTCTTTGGGCTTGTTTACCAGGAACATGTGTTTTGGGAACCCTTGTTGGTAAGCCAAATGGTGGAAGCAAGATGCCTGGTTGCGTCAGCAGCCCAACTGAGAGGGCAGCCTGGGGCCTGGCTTCATCACTGTGCCCTGTGGAGGCTGGGCTGGTGCCCGAGACCAAAAGGAGTAATGCCTCCTTTGTTCCAGCCCAGCACCTGTTCTCCCTGGGCCATGGACAAAGAGCTGGGATTCTTGTCCTGGATTTTCAAGGGGAATGGAGATTCTGGGATCTTTGTTTTTTAAGATACTCTTCTGATGTTTATCTCTTGTAATCACCCATGAGTCTTTCAAGGTAAGTGTGTTATTTTCATTTTAAAGATGGAGAAATAAACTGAGGCCCAGAGAGGGAAAACCACTTTCTGAAAGTCACACAACTGCTATACAGCAGAACCAGGATTTGAACCTGTATATTCTGTCTCCAGAGCCCCTGGGCTTACCTCTCTGCCAAAATGCCTCTATAAAAGTTGATAACCACTCTGTCTAATATGGGCTTCCCTGGTGGCTCAGATAGTAAAGAATCTGTTGGCAATGAAGGAGACCTGAATTCGACCCCTGGGTTTGGAAGATCCCCTGAAGAAGGGAAAGGCAACCTACTCCAGTATTCTTGCCTGGAGAATCCCATGGACAGAGGAGCCTGGCGGGCTATAGTCCACAGGGTTGCAAAGAGTTGGGCATGCCTGAGGGACTAAGCAAGCTCTGTGTTAATATGGTAGCCACTAGCCACATATGGTTATGTAGAATTTAAGTTAATTAAAATGAAATAGAATGAAAACTTCAGCCCTTCATTTGCGCTAGCAACATTTCAAGTGTTCAGTAACCACTGGTGGCCACTAGCCACCACGTTACATAATGCAGATATAGAATATCTTCATCATCTTAGAAAGTTCTATAGACTGCATTGCTTCATAAGCTCTTCTACTCAAATCAGATTTGATGACTGTAACTCAGATCCTGTGCTTCAAGTCCTTAGGGGTCTATGATTCCAAGATCCACAGTCTAAAATTGAATGATTCCAAGATCTTTCCCTAGCTCTGTCCTTCAGCAACTTTTCAGTGTCCAGAGAGAGCCCACAGGAGGCCGTTTATGTTTCAAGAGAGATGAACTTGGGTGGGGTGGGGGGCGGGCAGCTGTACTTTTCCATCCCCAGACTCTTTCTAAAGGAGGAGAGGTGACCTCAGCTTCGGGTCCCGCTGGCAGGCAGGGATGGGTTTTCAGCCGTCTCCAGAGCAAATAAAGGCAAAAGGAAAGGACTGGATGTTCGGAACAGGAGGCAGGGGCGGTGGCGGGGTGGGAGTGAGCAAAGTCTGCATCTGACGACCACTGGGCCAAGGGAAACACACCTCCTGCTCCCCCGCTCCCAACCCTCCCAGTCTCTCTTCCTCCAGGATACCTTGGGCCAGTTCACAGCCCAACTGGGCCCCCTTCAGGTGAGCACCTAACGGAGGAACTGCCGCCAAGGGAAACAGCACGTGAGGCAGAGGGCAGGCCAGAGGCGGAGGGGGGCAGCCTTGGTCTTCATTCAGCCCCGCCACCCGCTCCTTGGGGCTCTGGGCAGGTTTTTTCCCCTCTGGGCCTCAGCCCTCTCTTCTGTACTATAAGGTAGTATGCCTTCAGCCCCCAAGGGGATGCCGGATTATGAAAACATTCTTAAAAGGATAAACACAGGTATCATTACAAACTAAAGAGATATAGTTTTTATTTAATACTGCTCATCTATACAAAGGTGTTTATATTTTCACCGGTGGGGGGCATGCCAGACCTAGGTTTGACTGGCAAAGGATATGTGTACGGCTGATCATTTCTGGATGCTGGGGTTTGGCCCTGTGTTCTGACCTTGCTAGGGTTACTGATGCACCCCTGACCTTTGCAGGACGGGCACCTGGCCTCTTTCACCAGAGGTGGTTTAGAGAACCTCAGAGAGGGAGCTCATGGGTATGCAGGGAGTATGGTCATACATTCGAGAACCGTCCACTGCTGCCCTTCCCTCTCATCAAACAATCTGGATGGAGAGGATGTTGGGACTGGTGAGGGAAAACTGGGCAAAACCCCAAATTAGGAAAACAACTCCTCCTCCAAGACTGTGTGTCCTCTTCTTAACACTTACTTCCCACTTTTCTCCCCGATCCCCACCCCAGTCTCAAAGAAAAACTCTATGAGGCCCAACCCAAGTCCATGAGGAGGAATTTTGTCAGCTTGAAAGGGGCCTGAATGTTGTCTGACTTCCTCCCTCTCCACATCAGACCCCTCATCGGAACAGCGGGACTCACAGCCCTCCCATGCCATGGTGCCAGTGTGTGAGACCATTAGAAATTTTAATGCACCGTGAGATCTAGAATGACTTTTCTCTTCTGGCTGCAGCACCAAGGATGGGGGTGGCAGAAAGAGCCAGCGTGCCACTGGGAAAGCACGGCTGGTGAGGTAGGACAGACAGAAGAGCCGACCCACAAATCTTTCCCTGGTCACAGAGGAGGAGCAGTTCCTCTGCTCAGATGAAGGACACAAACCCTGAAGATGCCAGTCTTCCTGGCTCTCCAAGCTGAAGCTTACTGCCTTTCCAGCCCTAGCTGGGCTGCTTCTCTAACTGTAGGACTTGTCTATCATTGGAGCCCAGATAAAGTGCCTTTTTTTATTCCTGCTATGAGTCTCTGACCCTTCAACTTCTAACCGTCTCAGACAAGCCTTTCATTCATGCTTTCTCTCCTGTTCCTTTCACCCAAAGCCACATGCAGGCATTGTTTTGCTTTTGTCTCCAAGCGGGAAAGCAAGAAAGGAGATTTTTCCACCTCTAGGCTTGAGAGAAGTGGAGCAGGGAAGATAAGCATAGGACTGTGTGTGCAGGGGAGGGGGAGAGGAACATTTCCAAAACCTGGGAAGGGAAGACTGCATTCAGATGGGAGAGTTGGGGACACCACGAAGCAAAACCAAGCTCCCAGGTGGATTTCTTTAAGTTTCTGTTGGTTTTATTTCGTATACATGCCATAGAATACTGAGGTTTAGTGTCTATTTCAACCCCAATAGAGGACCATTATGAAGTCTTCCCTTCTGCTGCCTGTTTCTACTACCCAAATACCATAATTTAAGTGAAGATGGGGATAATGGAGGGGATGATGTGTGCCAAGACCAGCATGTGCTTGGGACAGCTACAGGGCATCTCAAGGGCTCAGGCTACCACCTCAAAGCTCAGCTAGTCCAACCCTCTCAAGTAATAGAAGAGGGAAACCAAGATCCAGAGAGGATGAAGGATTGAACCAATATACCAGGTTAATATTGAGATAGAACCAGAATCCTTGGGATTTAGCTCCAAGCTAAGTGTTTCTTCCATGATGCCAGGGTACCTCCCACCAAGGTGCTTGGTCAGTTGAGAAATCTTGGAAGGAACTAGGGATGAACGAGGGAAAACATGGCCACTGCCCACATTGACTAAAAGCTGCTTAGGCGCAGGGGAGCATGCTTGCTCTGTGTGGCCGCAGATGGAAGATCACAGTAGACCAGGAGAAGCTTGAAGGTAGGCAAGCTGAACAGTAGAAGGAAGGACTTTCTAAAGCCATTTGGAAATGGAAGTTCATTGAGTTAGAACAAGAAACAAAACATCCCCACCACCGTACCTTGGTTAGGGACGGCATTTTGTCAGCAAATCATCAGAGATTCTGCTCCAGGATGCCCTCCAGCCATGAGATTGTTAGAGTCGAGAGCTCAGCACCTAGAGGAAGGTTTCAGCAGTGACCAGGGTGGGAGAATTTTCTAGAGAACGTTCTAGATCTCAGTTAACATCTTTTAGCTGTGAAGGGGAAACAGAAGGTAACACTAAACATATGCAAGCATTTGGGTAGTTTCCACACAGAATCCAGAGAAGTACCATCCCTTCTGGGCAGAATGGAGGAAAGTATGGCCATAAGTTTCCACTGACCACACTCGAAAACTATTGTTCTTTGTTTTAGAATGTAGGCCTCATTGTCTCAAATTGGCAAGGGGTTGCTGCCTATTAAATTCTCTTACTAAGGAGGGGTAGGGAGAAGGAGGTCAGGGGGAAGAGGGGAGAGGAGGAAGAGTCTGGGGTATAGGAAGAAAAGAATCCTAGAACATCAGGGATTGAAGGGCCCTTGAACAAGATCCAGTTCAGCATTGCCCAGACTTGATTAATTAACCAGTTGTCTGTGTCCAATCACTGTTTAAAAATTTAAATAAATGTACTGAGGAAAGAGACAAGATCCCTACCGTAAATGGAAAAACCTGTGTACTTCTGTCATAAATAGAAGGAAACTGTTAAACTAGACACAAAGGAGACAGAACAACTGTACTGAATTCCAGCTGGATGTCGTTTCCTGCGGAGGCTCTGAGCCAGAGGCCTGCCCTCTGTTCAAAAGGGCAAGAGATGAGTGTTAGATGTTAAAGACTTGTTAGCACCAACTGAGACTTTCTCATACCATCAGGATTAAAAGAGAAGCAAGCAGAAGCAACTTTCTCCCTGTCTTTCACTATTGTTTACCATGGACCATCTAAAACTATCTTGCATATCACAGGAATTCAGTGTCAGGAGGAACTCTCCATCAAGAAACCTAGCCCTCACTGAATTTGTCATCTCTTTTCTCCCCACAGGGTTCCTAGCAACATGAGGGCCTGGATCTTCTTTCTCCTTTGCCTGGCCGGGAGGGCCTTGGCAGCCTCTGTGAGTATCTGAAAGTCACATCTTCTTGGTCTTACCTCCCACCGCCAGCTCAGGGGCATTGAATCTACCGGCCCTGGGTGTTCAGAGGGTACAAGCACTTTCCCATCTTGAGTGGTCTTTTTTTTTTTCCCCTTAAACTAATAAGCTCAAAATAAAGACTGAATGAGGATCATTGGGAGGAGATTCCAGGGAAGAGAGATTTCCATGTAATGTGAAGATGTACTTGTTCAGCAATCAGAGCTTCCCCAGAAAGGGACTAGGATTGTTTTAGAAGGAAGTGAGCTCCTTGTCATATGAAGACTTACAGAGGAGAAGGGGACGCTGATGGGGTGTGATGGTAGGAGAAGCCCCAGCCAGCCAGGCACCTCAAAGTCATGTGCTATCTTGCTTCTTCTAACTCCAAGTTGACTCCAAGAAGGAATTGCCAAATAATGATGATGATGATGATAGTATCACACCTGTGGGGAAGATACTGACATCTGTTAAAATTCAGGGTTCATCCCCTATGGGTCTCCATTTTCCCATCTGAAGGGAGTTGGTCTGCATCAGACCAGTTGGTCTCCCATCCTTATGGGAGTCTAAGCGGCAGAAATGCTTTTGGAGTTTTGATAGGCACTCCAGATGTAACTATACAAAGGGAGGTGCTCCTGCAGCCCACAGGGCCTGCATGTTTGGCTTCTCCTATGCCCGAGTTGCCCACACATGGCAGGCGTCTCCCACAAGCTTCTCTCCTAGCTCCCCAGCTTCAGTGGTCCAGGCTAAAGCATGTTAGTGGTGGGAAGCTGGCCCAGGCCCCAACCTCTCTGAACACCATTTTCACCTCCCAGCAGCAACAGGAAGCCTTGCCTGATGAGACAGAGGTGGTGGAAGAAACCGTGGCCGAGGTGGCCGAGGTAGGTGGTGGGGGCCCCAGACTCCTCTCTGCCAACATCCGCTCCCCTTGGGGATTCCAAACAGGGGCTGCCAGAACAGGCCATTGTTCCCCTTCCCACGTGCACACACAGCATAGATGTAAATCCTGTGGATCCCCCAATGATGACATACTCCCGAGTGCTCCCCAAACTCTCCCTGGAACCTCATAGGTGGGAGCTATGATTCTGAATTTGTTTTTTACTTTTTAAACTGTGTGACATTTTTTCTCAGATGGTCTCCCCAAATGTCAACTGATGAAAGGGAAAGTACCCTGCTGTGGCTGAAAGGGGAGGGAGCTTGGCACTCGCTCTTGCCCTGACACCCCTGCTGGCCTCTAGGGCATCTCCATAGCGTTCTGGGCCCTTGAGGAAGAGCGGGTCCTTAGATTCAGTCTCGATCCTGGACCTGGCATTTGTGCCTCCTGGGATCTGAACCCAGCACCCATTCCAGCATGTCTCTCCCCATCCCCTGTGGGTACCCAAAGCTTTGGGCAAGTCCCCTCCAGCCTTTGCCCCTTTCCTCCAGGTCTGGGGGGGGATGGGACGTTTGACTCACTCTTCTCCTTCCACCCCAGGTACCCGTGGGAGCCAACCCTGTCCAGGTGGAAGTAGGAGAATTCGATGAGGGTGCCGAGGAAACCGAGGAAGAGGTGGTGGCTGAGAGTAGGTCCCTTCTCCTTGTCTTGTTACACAGGCCTTAGCCCTCTGCCACCCGGGCCTGGGGCGTGGGCCCAGCCTGTGTGAGGTTCCTTCCCAAGGAAATGCAGGGTGGGGGGGTCCTCCCTGCAGGAGGGGCTGTGAAGGACAAACTGCCTTGACTGAAAGGTTGGGAGTGTTTTCTGGAATTTGGAAAGATCTATTTATAGCCAGGCTGTGAGTGCTAGGAAGGGAAGTCTTAAGCTGGAAATGGCCTTGTCCCCTTGCAGCACTTTAATCTAGTTCCAGAGTTGGGTTTCAGGTTCCCACTGAGATCCCCAGTCCCGTCCTGTCACTTGATGGCCCCAGACGCTTTCACACTTATAAGCTTATTTAATTGTCAAATGGCCATGAGGAAATAAGGTCTGGAAGCCTGACACAACTCCTATACGGCTTGTGAGAACCAGGACCTGGGGCTTCTGTCCCCACCCACAGTCCAGCATCCCTAACCCGCAGGATGGAGACTCACTGTACCCCAGGGGCTAACAGCCCGGACTCTGGGGATGGACCAACCAAGGTCTGCCTCCAAACTTTCTGCGATGCCCTCTGACAGCCCTTGAACCTTCTCTGAGCCCAGCTTGCTCATGTCTTGCGTGGGGAAGGGTGAAGACAGTAGACCCCCACCCCAGGGTTGTCGAGGGACTATGAGATAAAAGTAGAGGCGCCCTTGCCCAGGACCTGGCAGGGCAGGCATCCAACAAAGGAAGACTGGGACACCCCAGTCAAGCACCCGGAGGAAAGGCTAGATGAGCTCTCACCCTCAGAGCCCAAGTATCCACTGGAGCAGAGGGGCGTCTACTGAGTCCTGTTCCTTCCCCTCCACGTCCCTTATCCGGTGTTTACGAGACACAGGCAGACTCTATTGTTCAGTGTGGTCCTGGGGCTCTGATCCCTTTTCCGCTGCAGATACTCAGGTGTGTTTTGCTGGGCTGCACAGCTCCCTGGCTCCGTGACAACAGCTGACTTTCCGAGTCATTCTAGAAAGTCTATTCTAGAATTGTGAAATACTTTGCTGTCACTGATCCATGAACAGCCAAGAACACAGTGGTTGCTTCAAACCTCGGGGGAGCCATATGGCATCCGGTGCTCCCTGGTCCCAGACTGAATCCCCAGCCCCCGCAGGAGTGCCTGGCCCTGACCTCAGACCAAATCTCTAGTTCCCCAGACTGAGCCAACTGCTCCCCGACAAGCTGATTTCAGCAGAACAGAAGGGAGGGCACAGGGCTGCCTGAAGGTCAAGTGGGGGCCAGACCTGAGGACTTCTGTCCAAGGAGCCGTGTGGGTTGGGTTGGGATGGATGTGCTAGCCTGGGTGAGGCTAATCACATTGCCCTTGTGCTCTGCCAGACCCCTGCCAGAACCACCACTGCAAGCACGGCAAGGTGTGTGAACTGGACGAGAACAACACCCCCATGTGCGTGTGCCAGGACCCCACCAGCTGCCCTGCCCCCATCGGCGAGTTTGAGAAGGTGAGGCCCGAGGGACAAGGCGGGGGGTGAGGGCTGCAGCCCTCAGAGTGTCTGCCCAGAACACTGCCGGCCTGGGGGTCCCGCAGGGCAGCTCCAGGCTCAGAAGTCCCCTCGCTAGGTCTAGTCACAGCAAGAGACCCAGTCAGAGGGGGTCTGTGTCTGGGACTCTCCAGCAGTCACTGGAGAGTGACTGTCACTGGACTGTCCAGCAACTGGCAAGAATTTACTCAGCACCACCAGCTTCCAGCCCTACTGAGACTCAGAAGGGAATACACATGTGGGACTTTCTTACGTGGGAGAATCTTGGCAAAGCATCAGATCCAAACACGTGGGTTCTGGGTCACAGCAAAGGATAACATCAACCTTCATTTCTACCTCTTGATAGTGTGAGATCTTAGCTATGTTCCTGATTCTCTCCAAGTTTTCTCACCTCTAAAGATGGGACAGAAATAGACTTTATCTCATAGAGCTATTGCAGGGGTTTGTCAGATAATGCCTGGTACTTAGTAAATACTCAACATGTACTATTTAAAAAAAACTTTCAAAGCTGTCCATTCAGTCTCCAATAGGACTCATCTGTCCATCCATCCATCCAAGTAAATATTTATTGAGCACTCATGCATATCAACCATTGTGCTAGTGGTCACCTAGCTCAGGGCCACAAATTGAGTTCCAGCATCATTCCCACAACCTCCACCTCACCTTCAACCTCTCCCCAGTACAACATACCCTTTGAGGTCCAAATTTTAGCATCTTCGTCAGCTCTTCCCTCCTCCTCACCCCATCACCCCCTATTACACTGGTCACCAGTGCCCACCAGTTCTCCCTCTGCAGTGATATGTATGCAGTAAGTATGTGCAGGGTTTTCAAGACAAGGCTTCTCTCCTCCTGACACAACTACTTACTGCCACTGCCCTTGTTCAGCCCATAGCAACTCTGCTCTGCCATCCTCATGTGCAGAGATTCGCAAGAAGGACCAATATAACTCACCACATATTTGCACTCACTGCTAATAGTTAAGGATACGTAGCTGGCTGAAAAGGGAATTGGATACCGGCTGCATGTGGAGGGATCCATGCATAGTCTTGCTTATTCTCCCCCTGCCATGAAGGATTTCTTTCCCCAGCTACAAAGATGAGCTGCAACCTCATGCAAGCAAGGCTTCTGCCCAACGAAGCCCATTACAGACTCAGCACCCAGTGTTTAGTTGAAGTCTGGCCACGTAGGCATCCCATGCCTAGCATATACCCAAATTCCAGACTCCAAGCAGGAAAAGAGATGTTCAGCATGAACCATACTGTTTGTATGAGCAACCCAGGCAAATTGAGACACTTGCATCATTTGTAGACATCAGTTTTCTAACAGTGCAAGCAACTGTTCACCAGCCTCGCTCCCAGACACCAGCCAAGGGCCAACATCACAAGAAGGCCTTTCTAAGAACAACAGTCCCAGGCCTGTTGTATTAACTCTTTTCGGCATACTCTACCTTTCCCTCATCCTCGCCTTCAATTCATCTTTTCTGTATTTCCCAGGTTTGCTTTCCCATATCTCAGCCCTGACTCCATCGTTCTGCTGCTCAGGGACCAGCAGTGGCTCTCAGCTTGGGCTGAACATTGACTTAGGAGCCTAAAGAGTGGCTCCTTGCCTGGGCCCCACCCTTAACTCACTGTGTGGGCCCCGGGCTAACCACGTTCCTTGCCTGGCCCTCAGTGTTCCCAACTCTGAAATGGGCACGGACGGCGGTACTGGCGCAGGGCTTTGGGAATGAGGGTGAGGCACTCTATGCTTTGCCGACAGGTGTGCAGCAATGACAACAAGACCTTCGACTCTTCCTGCCACTTCTTTGCCACCAAGTGCACGCTGGAGGGCACCAAGAAGGGCCACAAACTCCACCTGGACTACATCGGACCTTGCAAATGTGAGTCTCTCCTCGGCCCGCCAAGCCTCCCGTCTCGGGGAAGAGGCACCAAACTGGCACTGATGCTGGTTCTGCCACCCCTGGGCTGTGTGATCTTGGGCACCTCTCTTCCCCTGTCTGCGCTTCAGGGATCCCAATTATAAAATGAGATGATTGTTTAAGAGCTGGTATCTGTACTCAGGACCCCTCCAGGAAGGACTGAGCAGTGGAGGGAACACAAGATCAGGGCAGATTTCTGGAGCCTCTCACTAGCATCCGAGACAACGCACTTCTTTTCTGTAATGATGAGGAAGTTCTTCTTGGGTCTAACCACAATCTTTCCTGCTTCAATGTTGTGAAGCAAAAATGATGCTCTTCCTGGGCCTAAAAAGTGTTTTAAAAATACTTGAATTTGAATGCGTTAAAATCAAGGCAATCTTGTCAGTTCCCCTTAGGCCCTGTTACTCAACATTGTCATATCCTAGGCCTTTTTACTTTGTTACATTCCCATCTGCCCCCATAAAACATATGATTAAGCACCTGCTTCTAGAAACCTGGGAGCCAGGTGTTGTGGGCAGGAATGCCAGGGCTTGCCTGGCCTTCGGGGAGTGATCCCAGGGGCAGACTCAGCTGGCCCAGGCTCCTGCTCCTGCTTGTCTGCCTCCCTGTCATCTGAGACAGGCAAGGCCCCCTCTGCTCCCCTCCAAGACAACATCCACATGGTGTGTCTGGTACGTTCTGACACCAGATGACACCGGGGAGGGCCACTCACCTGCCTCAGGTGTACAGAGTGCAGGAAGGTGGAGAAGGGGAACCAGGTTCTCCTGTGGTCAGCACCGCTCTTGTGGTTACAGGACCCTGGATGTGAAAAGAGAAGGTGCAGGCCTGGAGAAGGAGGGCGGGGGAGGGACGTTGGTAGGAATCCTTGGGCAGTGAGACTGACACTTGTGCCAAGCAGCTCTTCTGTTCTCTGGGGCATATAGCTTGCTCCGACTCCTAGCGTTTCCCTCTCAGATGTTCTCTTCCACTCCCCAGCTGCTGGTGAAGAAGGTCGTGGTCCTAACCACAAAGGGGACTTTCCATAGGTCCAAGGATGGGGGAATGATGGACCCCTAGGCCTCCTGGCACCCACATGCCCTGGTGCTGGATGAGGCTCTGATAACGTGGCCTTAAGCAAGCCCCTTCTCTCCACACTGATCTTTAATAATTCCAAGAGGGTGGACTTGGATGAAATCTCTAGGACTGACATTTTGTCACCCTGAGTTCCAAAGACCAGGATGCAATCCTATCACTAAGAATGTTCCAGTGATTAAGCATACCTGAACCCCCAGCCCGGTTAAGCTGGGCCTATGGGTGAATGCTGTTCCTCAGTCTCCCAGCTTCAAACATCTCTCAAGGGTCATCATCATGGTGGGTCCTGGCCTCTGTTTTCAGGGCCCAACACCCAAAAAAGCAGGAGTCTCTGGAGTGAACCATTTCCTTCCCCAGATCAGATCAAGTTCAAGGGAACAAGGGATGTGCCTTTGCACTTGTCCATGTGCAGAGTATTCTCCCCCCACCCCCACCCCTGTCCCCACCCCCGCCAAACTCCTTTGTTCAAAAGGTGTGCAGAAACTGTGGCCCAGAGAGGCCGGGCCCTGTGCCAAGGTCACAGACTGAAGCAGTCGCAGGAGAAGGGCGGGGGTGGGGAGAGCGACCTGGCCCACACGTTGGCCCTCGGGCAGGGAGAGTCAGGGTCTGTGCTGACCACCCCGTGTGTTGACCCTAGACATCCCGCCCTGCCTGGACTCCGAGCTGACTGAATTCCCCCTGCGCATGCGCGACTGGCTCAAGAACGTCCTGGTCACGCTGTATGAGAGGGACGAAGACAACAACCTCCTGACCGAGAAGCAGAAGCTGCGAGTAAGGGCCGTTTCTCCTTCTGTCTCGGGGCACTTGCTTGGCCCTGAGCTGGCCCTGACCTCGGGTCCCAGGCTGGCTGAGATCCACAGTCCCATTCCCAGATCTAGGCCCCCAAATGTAAGCCCGCATCCCTGCTCCAACGAGCGCCTCTGTCCCGGGCTCGAAGACACAGACTCCTCCGTGCAGCCTTTGAAGGCTCCTAGAGCACATTCACGGAGAAGGCAGTGGCACCCCACTCCAGTACTCCTGCCTGGAGAATCCCACGGATGGAGGAGCCTGGTGGGCTGCAGTCCATGGGGTCGCGGAGAGTCGGACACGACTGAAGCGACTTGGCAGCAGCAGCAGCAGCAGCACATCCAGGGGCTTCCCAGGTGGCGCTAGTGCTAAAGAACCCTCCTGCCAATGCAGGAGACATGAGAGACATGGGCTCAATCCCTGGGTTGGGAAGCTCCCCTGGAGGAAGGCATGGCAACCCACTCCAGTATTCTTGCCTGGAGAGTCCCACAGACAGAGGAGCCTGGCGAGTTACAGTCCGTGGGGTAAGAGTTGGACATGACTGAAGTGACTTAGCATGCAGGCAGAGCACATTCACCTCTTAAAGGCTCTGAGGAGTCCTGTAATGAAAGGACCTGCTCACTTTGTTTAGCTCCATGTTACGTACGGGGCATAAACAATTCTATTCCTTTTTCCTTCTGAGTCTGTGGACTTTAAGGGACATATCAAGCACTAGGAGTACTGATAAAATACAGCTCCCTGGGCTGTGAAGTGTCTCTGTGAAACAAGGCCCAGTTATTCTGATTGAGATGGCCCCAGACCTCCACTTCTGTGGATGAGATAATGCTGGTACTCATCTAACCACTTCCTTCCCTCATTTGTCTCTACACCCCACCCCTGCCCCCCGCCCTGCCCCGCCACACTGCTCAGCATGTGGGATCTTAGGTTCCCAACAGGATTCAAACCTGTGCCCCCTGCAGTGGAAGCACAGAGTCTTAACCCCCGGACCACCTGGGGGGGTCCCCCTTCCCTCATTCTAAACCTAGACTGGGGCTGGTCTTGCCTGCTCTGGCCTCCTGTCGGGGGAAGGGACCTTGACTGGCCCCGACAGCCTCCCTGGACCCTTCGTCACACAGCGTCTCTGCTCCCACAGGTGAAGAAGATCCACGAGAACGAGAAGCGCCTGGAGGCTGGCGACCACCCCGTGGAGCTGCTGGCCCGGGACTTCGAGAAGAACTACAACATGTACATCTTCCCCGTGCACTGGCAGTTTGGGCAGCTGGATCAGCACCCCATTGACGGGTAAGACCCCTGACCCTCAGGATCACAGAGGGGAGCTGCCTCTGCCTTGGCCCTGGAGTGGACAGTCACCGGTCAGGGCTGCTAGGTGCACTAGATGTGGTCAGAAAACTCCTCAGGGGTCTCTGCTGCTCCCAGCCCTGGAGGCCCATAGTTTGCCTAAGGGCTGAGGCAGGAGAGGATAGGTGTAGGAGAAAGGATATAGAAGATTTAGTGCCATGAGTCACTCCCTCCTTACTGCCCTAAGAGGCAGAAGCCATCAGAACTGAAAAGCCCTCCTCAACCCCGTGAGTGCCAGCCTTGGGTGTCCATTCAGCAAGGTAGAAGGAGCTGGGAAGGAGTGCCAGACTCTGTGGGGTGGCAGGGTCTGTGTGAGGCAGCAAGGCCCTGAGACCTGGCCCCAATGGGGCAAACTGGCTCTGGAAGTTCTTAAGACATTCACAGTGCCCATCCCATCTCCATGGCAAGCCCTTGGTTGGATCACTCCTGCCCCAAGTGTTGAAATGAGTTAGGAAGTGCCATGTAAACGCCCTGTGGGATAAGCCGAGAGTTGGTCAGTGAACCAACATTTATTGAGTGTCTATTACATGTCCAGCATGATTCCAGGCAGGGGATTTAACTGTAGTCAGAACTGACACAGAGGCCCTTGACCCCATGGAGCTCACCCTCTGGGTGGTGATCTGTTTCTCACAATGGAAGGAAAAAGTAAGGAAGGTGCCCGGAAGTTGCAGGTGGTGGCTGATGCTTCTGCGCTGAGCAGGACAGGCCCCCCTCACCTCCGCCTTCTCTTGCTGTGTGCTCCTGGAGCAGCTCAAGAGGAGGGCTGCTCTGCTCACACAGGATGCCCAGGGCTGGTCCCATCTGGGAGGCTCAACCCTTCCTCCCAGTCCAGTCCACCCTGTGGGTGATCCTGGGGGGCTGGGGTCTCCTGAGTGCTGGGAAACCGCCTGTAGCTTCTCTCCCAGGCTCTTACCGTGGCTGGGATCCATCTGAGTCATACCGTGAAGGGGAGGGGAGAAGTCAGGGAACATCTGGACTCAGGCTGAGCAAGGAAGGGGCCTGGAGGGAGGCTTCCAGATGGGGCTGCAAGGACCCTGCATCTGGGAAAGCAGGCTGGGTCAGAGGATCGTCCTGCCCCTCTCCTTGACCCAGAGCTGCCCGGTGACCTTGCCTGAGTCCCTGCCCCACTCTGGGGCTCGCTTTCCTCACTGATATACAAAGAAGGCGGAGAAGCTTCAGTTCAACCGATCCCTTCCATGAGTTTGGCCAGATAGGAGGGCCTGGGGGTCCTTGGGGAAGAGTGTTTTGAGGACAACTAATGGAGGGCTCTGGGGAACAAGGAAAAAAAAATCCTATATGTGCTCTGGAGTCCAGGCCAGCTGGGAGGACAGGAACAGAGGAGATTGGGAGAGAAATCAGAAGGCCTCCCTCTCACACAGGACACAGTATATAAAAGATAAAGTTCTACTCACCCTCCGCCTGCCAATTCCAATCTCTTCCCACGCTCCCTCCCCAGAAGTCAGCACTCTCTTCCTTTTTTTTTTTTTTTGTCCAGCCACACATCTTATGGGATCATAGTTTCCTGACCAGGGATCAAACCGGGCCCTTAGCAGTCAAAGTGCAGAGCCTTAACCACTGGACTGCCAGGGAAACCCCACCCCTCCTCCCCAACTTTTGCAGTACGCTATTCAGTTTGATGCATCTCTTTTTCACCTCTTTTCTGAGTATTTGCAGATGTATAAATGTGTCTGCAGAAAACATGCATTGTTGTTTCATACCATATTTTGAGCTACCAATAGCAAAAATGTTGAATATTTTAAGCTTCTGTGCCCTCAATTCTTAGTCAATCAGGAAACAATGAAATGCACCAAGAGACGGTGTTATGAACCCACAGATCTCAGACCTGGAAGGGCCCTTAGACGTTATGATCAACTCCTCCCTCTTTGATGGAGGAGGAAACTGAGGCTCAGAGTGGGGCAGTGCTGTATGCTCAGAACTACAGGAGGTCAGTCGCAGAGCCGGGGCAGACCCAGGATCCTGGCTTCCGGTTCTGCAGTGAACATCCTCTCCTTCAGCCCCAAGGGGCAGGCTCCCTCCCCCTGTCTCCCCAAGCAGGGCTATGGGGCTGGCTCAGCCTCAGCCTCTCCCCACCTCACCCCTGCAGGTACCTGTCTCACACCGAGCTGGCCCCACTGCGCGCCCCCCTTATCCCCATGGAACACTGCACCACCCGCTTTTTCGAGACCTGTGACCTGGACAACGACAAGTACATTGCCCTGGATGAGTGGGCCGGCTGCTTCGGCATCAAGGAGAGTGAGTATTTGAGCAAAGGGTCCGCTGTCCTCTCCCTCCCACCTCGCTGCTCTCTGTATGTCTGTCCTTCCTGTCCATCTCTGCTCTGTGCCTGGTTAACTCCTGTCTGCTCTCCCTGCCTGGGTGGGCCTCGCTCTTTTAGGTGACTTCCTGGTCCTTCTCTATCCACTCGACTGTCTGTTTCTCCCTTTTGAAGCATCAGTACTCACTCTGTGTCTAGCACTGCTTTGGGAACTGACAGTCATCTACAGGAAACAGCACGTGTAATTAGGCAGCGCAAGTCACGAGGACCGGCCAGGGATCGGGAAGGCCAAAGTTCTCAGTCATAGACTCCCTGGGTGACCTTGGACTGGTTACCTGGCCCCCGGCCCCCGGGATGGGTGGGATCTGCCAACTTCTTGGGAAACATTTCCTCATTGACCCCAGCCCCCAAGTCTAATTCTGCTCCTTCTTGCCTTGCAGAGGACATCGACAAGGACCTCGTGATCTAAAGCCACGCCTCCTCCTGCAGAACCAGATTCTCTCTCTTTGACCTTCCCCCTCCTGTTTTCCCCAATGTTTAAAATGTTTGGATGGTTTGTTGTTCTGCCTGGGGTCAAGGTGCTAATATAGACTTAAACGAATACATTAACGGTGCTAAACATAGACATTTTAACCCAAGTCACGACATTCTTAGCTGTAACTCAGCTATCACGGCCTCTTGCTCACCCACTAATGGTCCCATTTTCCTCTTGCCGTGTGCACCTCTGCCCATTGTCTTGGTGGCACATGGGTGGAACACTTGATCTGCTCGAGTCTGCCTTCAACACACGTTGCATCTTCAGATTTTCTACTTTTCTGCTTGAAACTAATATTCACCGAGTCAGACTTTGTGTTAACTTTATTTCAGGGTATTGGCTGCCAGGGGGTCATTCCTAAGTGGCCTGAAGATGGACAAAGGGAAGTAACAGGCACGTGATGTTGGCAAGGATGCTTCTAGGGCTAGAGGATCAGTGGTGGGAGAGACCTGCAGAATCTACCAGCCAGAACCGCAGATAACAAATCTTGTGGTCAGGGGCTGTGAATGAGAGAAGGAAATTGAGGCTGTGTTCTGGAAGTACATAAACTCTCACACAAACCCAGTTCTTCACCATTTCCCCTTCTCATTTTGCAGTGCCATTTCTTTTTGCATTAGGCAATTTGCTCAGACTTTTCAGAGCCATGGCCCCTCCGTTCTCTGAAATCTCCCACACCTCTGAGAGGTGGATCACCACATCCTGCAGGGCTGCTCCCCTCCAAACTATCTTTAGGAGATGCAGGACAGGGAGGCTGTTTCAGCCAGAAAGACGAAAATCAAGAGCGAGGTGCAGAACGTGGTAAAACAGAAAAAGGGCAGGTGGCAAACTGGTTTTCTTTTGGGTTTTCTGTTTTCTTTTTTCACATCTGGATGGCTGTCACCAGAGATCTTTCCTTCAGTCGCTAGCATGTTCCTCCTCTTCTCTCCTCCCCACTTTTTCTTTCTATTAATCAAAAGAAATTTCAAAATCAATGGGATGGTCGGATCTCACAGGCTGAGAACTCGTTCACCTCCAAGCATTTCATGAAAAAGCTGCTTCTTATTAATCATGCAAACTCTTGCCACGATGTGAAGAGTTTGACAAATCTTTCAAAATAAAAAGTACTGATTTAGAAACTGCCTCCCTGGGTGACTTTCATGTGTCTTAGTGACCTCATTTCCCTGACATGGAGATATGTGATCATAACATGTCCACACATGAATGCACAGATGCAAAGCTTTTCAAATGCATTATTACCCTTTTGTACACACAAGCTTACTTATACACAGGGAATGTATGGTGCCTATAAGCATGGATTTAGCTTTTAATTTTATGACCTGGGGGCTGACCTTTTTCATGATTGCACTTCATTATCAGAGCACCAGGCTAAGCAACTAAGGAAAGCACCAATGAAAGCAATGCCTTCACTAAGCATTCACTCATTCATTCACCCATCCATCAAGAAATGTTTATGATGTACTTACTATCGACTGATCCCATTCCAGGTACTACAGACACAGCTGGGGCAAAGCAGACAAAGCGCTTGTTCTTCTGGAACTTAGTCTAACAAGGAATGGGTTTTAAAAATGCCCAACTAAATACAAATGACAATATGTGATAGGTGCACTGAAGGGCTCCCCTGGTGGTTCAGACAGTAAAGAATCCAGCTGCATTGCGGGACACACAGGTTTGACTCCTGGGCTGGGAAGATCCCCTGGAGAAGGGAATACCCACTCCAGTATTCTTGCCTGGAGAATTCCATGGACAGAGAAGCCTGGTGGGCTACAGTCTGTGGGGTCACAAAGAGTTGAGTTGAGTGACTAACACTTCACACTGAAGGGAGAATATAAGAAACCAGCAGTGTATGTCACAGAAGGAATCAGGATTACTCTTGTTCCACAGTAATCACTCCCCATGCCTGGCTATTTAGATTTAAATTTAACTTAAAATTTAAAATCCAGTCCCTCAGTCACTCCAGAAACTTTTCAAATGCTCAACAGCAAAATGTGGTTAGCGGTTACCCTACTGAACCGAGCAGACCCAGAACATTTTCATCATCACAGAGCGTTCTATTGCACCAGGCTGTTCTAGGGCTTCCTTGAAAAAACCTGAGTCACAAAGGAAAAGAATGAAGTGTTGGGAGGGGCAGAGGTGAGAGAGGAGAAGGGTCGGGGAAAGGGCATTCCAGGCCGGGGAACAGCACAGGCAAAGGTCTTGAGTGGGTGGGGAACATGATGAGTCCCCCAGCATGGTCTGTGTCCAGGCTGAGGGCTGTCTTGTACTGGATGAAGCTGAACAGGTGGGCAGAGGCCAGACCATGCAGTCTGGTAGGCCATGTGAGGAGTTTGGGTTTTATTTTTTTGTTTGCAGTGGAAGTTATCGGCGGGTTTTAAATCAGAGAAACAGAGACAAGATTAGACTGGCTTTAAAAAGAACACTCTGGCTCTGGAAAGGCCCACCGTTAAGTCCACTGAGCGTTTTTCCAGGTTCATGCGTGCCCATCATGCTGGTGTGATATTTCAGGCTGGTGTTCTGAGGCTCCCCTTTGAGATAGAGAAATAGTTCCAGGAAGTGTGCTCTGTTGCAATGGACCACACACAGAGCGAGGTCTTCAGATGCCAAGTCTAAAGTTGGTTTATTCCTCTCTTATTTTACATTATTTTCAAACTACTAATGATACAAAGTCATTAAAAAAATCATAAAACTCATGAACTTGTATTACTGTGTTTCTTGTTCACACAATGGGAGGCAAGGACTGGGAAGTTTGATCCTGGCCATTTGAGGAAGGCAAGTCCAGCCTAGTGTCATCATCTAGAGGAATCCAGGCAGAGACTGACAGGGTACGTTTTGGAACTGGCTCATTCCTTCACTCTATGACGTTTACCAGCTGCCCGCAGCAATGTTTTATGTTCTCCCGAGTAAGCGCAGGCATGGCCTGTGCTGCCCTGGAGCCTTCATTCTGGCTAGGCAGACCATGCACAAGTCAGACCATCTGAGGCAGAAACTTGTGATGCAAAGGCCGTGAGTTGTTCCTTCGGGTAGGGAGGGAGCTGCAACATTTTCCCTGAGACTGTAGGACGAAGTCCTTGTGCCTTGGTCAACCACCTGTATGATACACAGCGCTCACTCTCAGAACAGCTCTGCTCCCCATACTCGCAGACTATACCTAGAATTCTCCCTCTAGGGAGTTTTGCCAAGTTTTCAAGGGAAAGGCAGCATCAAAGAGAGGCAAAGAGCATGAATCAGCCTGGAACGCTGGGAGGACAAGGTGGGGTTGCAGCAACACTGAGGAGCTGAGTTGAGGGGGGCCCTCAGAATCCTTACAGGCAATGTTTTCATGCTCTTCTTCTATCAGTGGCTTCGCTCCCTGTAAGTCAAATCTCTTAAAAAAAAAAAAAAATTAACATTTAAAGGAAATTAATTATCTCATTACCCTGAGAGAAAAATCAGTATCATTTACTATTGGCATAAATAAACTTAAAAAAAAAAAACAGAAAAAAAAAAAACAGTGGAAAAAAATGTAACGCAATTACAAATGTCCCCGTTCCTGAAGAATGCTGTTTATTGTCAAAAGAAGAAAAGATTTTCTCTTTGATAATCAAATGATCCAGAAGAGAACTGAATTACACTTAATTCAATGCCAAATTGGTAAGTCTCCTAAAATCATTTCCAGTCCTGAAGTGGTGGCTATTTCTCCCTTTGAGCAATTCCTCTTTTTCTTGAAGGGGGTGGGGGTCCTTCAGAGATCTTCTAGGTCTTCTCTCCCAACAGCTACAGAACTGGTTTGAGCCCCATTTAGCCCAGTGACCAAACACAGCTTCTTTCCTCGTCTGTAAAATCCTGATGATAACAGCCCCTGCCTCACAGGTCATTGTATCTGGCAGAGAGGAAGATGATGTTGATGACAATATTCCTGACTTAAATGAGAGGGGCCTGCACTTTCCCCACTGACTAGATGAGTCCTTTATCCTGGTGCTCTGTCCTTTGCAAAGTTTCAAGACCACATCCTTGTGAGGGTGTTACATGCTCAGGAATGTCACAGTGGTTAGGCTGTGCTGGGCGGCCTGGTGTCTACACTGGTTTTGATTTTAGAACTGCAAGGGTTAAAATATGTCCAGCCGGAAACAGAAATAAGGGAACCCTCATGAGGTAAAGGGGCCCTGGAGAGGGAGTTAAAGGCTAGTTCCCAGGACAGTGGTCTTTGCCTGGACTAGAGCTTTCCCCTCAGGGGTCCAGCCTCCCCTTCTAAAGAATGGTAGAGGGGGAGCTGGATAAGATGGTCCCATCTTCGGAAACTCTATGAGATCTCCCCGTCTCTCCTTCTGAACCAGCGGTCCTCGGGATTAGTAAAGACCTGGGGCCATCGAAGCCTCACAACCCAGTTTCCAGATGGCCCCCCAGAGCCAGACGGACCCAGCAGTCGGCTCCCTGAATGCAATCCCCGAACCCGCTGAGGAGAGCCAGGGCGCCCTCTGGTGGAGCCGGGGAGAAGGGCTCCCAGAACTGTGGGATGCCTCTGAACTGACTGCTACAGCATCCAAGTCGTAAGAACCTACAGAAGTCATCCAGCCAAGGCCCCTCATCTTCCAAACGTGGAAACTGAGGTTTGCAGGAGCAGAAGATGCCGCCTAAGGCAAGATTGCCAGGTAAAACACAGGACTTCCAGTTAAACTTGAATTTTATATAAATGATTTTTTTTTTTTTTTAGTGTATGTTCCATGGAATGTTTAGAACACACTTCTATTAGAAAATTATTCGTTACATATGTAAAACTTTGCTAAATCTGGCGACTCAACCTCCAGTCCACTCACTGAGTTAATGTCCAAGCTGGGAATGCAGCCGAGACATGGGTCAGGGCTCTTGCAAGCAGCTCTGCCCAGCACTCAGAGGCATATGAAATGCTTGCTGACATTATTCTGGGGGAAAGCAAGTGTAAGGATATCAGAATCCAACTT